TTTTTTTTTAATGTAGTAACTTAGAAGAGAGGATAATTTCTCTAGGAACCACCAATAGAGTATTTTTGGTAGAATACAGGAACACTTGGGTACTCAAGGATCTCAGGGGGAAGATCAAGGCAGGTTTCAAAGTTCAATCTCAGGTACTTGCTTGAAAGGCAGAATTTAGAGCTGAGTGGCCCTAGAGACAGTGAGTCACTATAGAGAGGGAAACATTGTGGTAGGCCAATCCTGCCTCCTTTACAAATATAAACTGATCTCTTTGTGCATTAAAAATATAATCAAGTTTTGAGCAAGACTGTCACAAGAGTCCTTCAGTATTGAAACAGAGCTGAAAGGTATTCAGGTGTAAATAAAGTACCTTGACCATGCAAGGATATGACCATGTAAGGATATGCACAGGGATATATTTCAGTTACGTCAGAGTCAGAGAGAATTAAATGGTTGACTTTAGTTTAATGACACAAAACTTCCAAAGATTACAGGAAAAATCTTTCTCTATGAAAATAAATTTTAAAAAAATGATATTTTTCATCAGCCATTTACTGCGTACAGGTTAGGCATATACTGGGGGCTCCATAAGAGTACACTATTCATCATTCATCAAATCGCTGGACTATTTTCAGGGAGTGAGCGTCATGCTTTGCAGAAATGGAGCCTGTTGAGAAGAAGGGAAAGAACTTCCCTTCCTGGCTGCTGTCTTCACCAAGGGAGAAAGTGTACATAGCTGTTTCCTTCTGGACATTAAAGAATGACAACTTCTTGGCTGTGGTGTCCAGGAAGATCCCAATCCTTGTGAGTTTCCCACTCACAGCCAAGCGGGTCCAAGGCTCTGTGCGGGCCCAATAGTCCTGCCTATCCATTAACCCTATGACCCAGAAGCCCTTCTGTGGGGACAGAGTCAGTGTGCCATTGCGAGTCACAGTCTCTCGGGCAATGCCCACTTCCCAGTTCTTTTTCTCTCCAACATCAACTTCCCAATAGCGTTTTCCAGATGTGTATCCTTCTTTTGCCAAAACAAAGAGGTGGGAGTCAAATCTCTTCCCTGTCCTGGGCACATTTCTGATTTTACCATTGTCTTCCACACTCTTGCCATCTTGAGACACCTTCAGCCTTGGATGAGCCGTGTCAGCATCCAAGGTGACATCAACTGCAACAATCAAGCAATTCCTTAATTAGCAGAAGTCATGAGGTCTGCAGAAGCCAAAGGCTTTCTATGCTACCACTTAGTAGGAAAAAAAAAAAAAAAGAGGAAAAGGAGAGAATCATGCCAGACTTTTTCATCACGAAACCATAGTTTCTATGAAACCTTAGGAAGTACAATAGGACAAAAAAGGAGAGATCATTGGCAAGACATTTATCTCTTCAGGCAGATGCAAGCCACCTGAGAATCAATGCAGATGCTCATATCTATAATTCATAACATCATAGAATGCTTAAAGTTGGACGGGACCTCTAGAGGTCATCTAGTCCAACTGCCCTGCACACGCAGGGGCACCTGGAGCACATGGCACAGGACTGCGTCCAAGCGCATTTTGAAGATCTCCAGAGAAGGAGACTCCACAACCTCTCTTGGCAACCTGTTCCTCTTGGCAACCTGTTCCAATAATTGTCCATAAGAAAGATGAAAACACAGATTCAAGATTTGCAGCATGTTTGCAAAAAAGCTCATAACCTGGAAAAGAAGCTAGCATGAATGATGTTCGTGGGAATCAGAATTCTGTATATGCTGATATAAATGGTGTATGAGAAGATTTCCAGGTTGTAGGTCATGGTACAAACAGAACAGTCATAGGGAACCTGAAAAAAGCATTCAAGATCCTGCCGAAGTGGTGAGTTCTCCTGTCTACCTGCCCAATACCAATGTGACCAAATATTGAAATGACTGAGCTGTGAAGCTCATGACTTCATTTGAATTTTGTTTGCAATAATGCCATAACCCTACCTGCTCAAATGATTTCTCTCTTTCTTTCAATGTGACCTGCTAGGCTGCAATGGGTATAGAATGAGCAATGATCTCCCCTAGCTCAGATCTCTGATCTAAAGCTAAAGTAGTTGCCCATCTAGAGGAGAAAGATCAAGACTGGATATTTATGCAAAAATTCCCAAGAGTCTAAAAACAGAATGGGAGACAGGCTGAAATAGCTAACTCAGGAAACTCCCTGTTCTTTGCTAAAGAGAGCAAGAGTTCTGGCCATGCTTGAATAAGAAAAAAAGTGATCAAACTATGATTATTGTTCTCTGAATTGATTGGACAGCGTGTGTTTTCCAGAGCTGCATGTAATCTCTAAGGACTCACACTCACCATATGTTTTATACTTACCTGAGTAACGCTGCATTTTGGCAAACTCTGTGGGGAAAAGAATAAAGCAGGCAATGAGTAGATCCATCAAGGAGTCCTGTTCTCAATTGCATTAACAAACAACCCGTCCCATACAGCCTGTCCATACAGACTGTGCTCTTCTGCAGAAATGTGTTTGTTCCATAAGCAGGTAAGAACATTAAAAGCTTTGAATATCTCCAGAGGACATTCCACAACCTCTCTGGGGAACCTGTTCCAGTGCTCTGTTCCAATCACCGGCAAGAAATATTTTTCCTCATATTCAGATGGAACTTCCTGTGTTTCAGTTTGTGGCCATTGCCTCTTATCCTATCGCTGGTCACCACTGGAAAGAGTTTGGTTGCATCGTCTTGGTATCTTCTTCTTTAAGACAGATGCACACAGTGATAAGATCACCTCTCAGTCTTCTTTTCTCCAGGCTAAACAGGCCCAGCTCTCTCAGCCTGTCCTCATAGGGCAGATGTTCCTTTCTCCTGATCATGTTTGTAGCTCTACACTGGACTCTCTCCAGTAGTTGCGTATCCCTCTTATACTGGGGAGCCCGGGACCGGACACAGCGCTCCAGATGTGGCCTCACTAGGGCTGAGCAGAAAGGAAGGATCAGTTCCCTTGACCTGCTGGCAGTGCTCTTCCTAATACATCCCAACATATCAGTGGCCTTCTTGGCCACAAGGGCACATTGCTGGCTCATATTCAGCCTGTTGTCCTCTGGGACACCCAGATCCCTCTCTGCAGAGCTGCTCTCCAGCTGGTCACCCCCAGCTTTTACTGATGCAAGGGGTTATTCTTCCTAGGTGCAGGACTCTGCACTTGCCTTAGCTTACCTTCATGAGACGACGAACCTGCCCATCTCTGCAGCCTGCCTAGGTCCCTCTAAGGGAGTTGAAGGCCCAGCTCATGATTTCCCTTCTCACCTAGTTTGCTCTGCAGCTCAGCCATTCTGCTGTCAGTCGTGTACTCCTGGACTGCATTCTTCTCTCTGAGGTACAAGAAATCCAGCTGTGCTGTGGCGTGCTGGTGGTCATGCTGCAGGGATGCCTGCATGCTCTCCAAAGATCTCTGCACAGCTTGAACTTCTTGGGAGAGTTTCTGGAAGGCGGAGGTGCTGATTTCTTCCTTTGAAGCAGGTGTTGAATGGTTAGCTGCCTCCACATGTCTCTGTAAAGTGGCCAGTTTCTCACTCAGAATACACTCCAGCTTGTGAATGGTTTCCGGGGCCATTGTGGTGTTTCTTTCCAGTGCCTTTCCTGAGGAAGAAGAGAGGTATCACTGGGACTCTGAGGTGTCCTTCCTTCCATGACCTTCCTTAATGTAGGGCCACATCTCTCTAATGGGGAGGGTCTCTTTTCCAGGCATAGTAAAAATAACTCCTCTCTCACTTGAGCAGCTCAAAGAAATTAATTCATAGGATTTTTGCAGTATTGCATGGGCAGAAATGTGTTTGTTCTATAAGTAGGAAAGCACACTAGAATCTCCTCTGTTATCCTGCAAAGGGGGAGAGTCCGCGGGACACAGGATGGTTTTTTCTTCTGCTACGGTCTTGAACTAAACCTGAAACCAAGGGAGGAATACCTGAAGGGAAGAGGTCATGGTGAATGCCAGGACAGAGGAGATGGACTGCAGCCTCCCAGATCTTCCAACACTGTAAACAATGTTTGTTTGTGTTACTGGTGGGGAGGGAATGCACTGAATATGTGTTACTGGTGGGAAGGGAATGCACTAACTGCTGGATAGGACAAAGAAGGATGAAAGTGGTGAGATGCATTTTCAAGACTGTGTGCCTTACAAAGCATCCTGATTGGATGCAAAATAAGGCAAGTTGAAAAGGCAGTGAAAGGACAGGAGGTGTTAGAAAGTAGACTGTGAAAATCTAATATAGAGACAGGCTGGAAATTGTTAAAAATTTGATTCCTAAACACATTGTTTAGATTTGGGGACAGTCAGCTCTGTCAGAATCTGTGTGTTCCACTTCCCTACAAAAGAGTATCCCAGCAAAGAAGTTATCAGCTCATGGGCACATTTAAAAGAGGAATAAGATTTGGGCCAGACTTTGAATCCTGTTATCAAAGTTGTCAAAGGACTAAGAAAGGTGTAAAGTATCTCACAGGTGCAGGACAAATCATGGCAAAATAGCATGGATGGGAGAAACGTCCTTGCTTGTGTCCTCTACTTTTGTTTGGCATGATCATTACCTGAGATGAGTTCCCTACAGAAAGCCATTGTCGCTGTGGGAGGTGATCAGAGAAGGGAGTAAAGGAAGTAGGAGGTGTTGGAGGACATTCCTGAGTTCAGAGGCACATATCTGTCCTATAGCAGGCTATATCAGCTACCTCCTCCCATAGGCATTGCTACCTCCTAGAGTCCAAGGGCCTCTGCACTGGCCAAGAAAAAGCAGCATAAAAACTTACCACGTCCATATTTTTCCCTGGATTTCTTTGTCTTGATTTTGCTGGCTGAGGGAAAGATGGAGAAAGAGCACAGGCCCTGTCATGCTGCCTGAATGTGCCACAAAGGGATGCCAGTCCAGCCAGGGACTAGAAATCGCCTTGTTCCCCTGCTGCACGAGGATTGCTAAGTGTTTGAGGGAGAATACCTGCTGTCCCTGCTGAAGATGACCAGAGAAAGGGAGAGAAGGAAGCAGGATATACTGGGGACATGGCTGAGCTCAGAGGGAGATGTCTGCCCGATGGCGGGCTGGGGAAGAGTCCAGGCTACAGACTACCTTCCATGGGGAAGGGATGAAGAGGGAGCTTGGGTGCCTGTTCTCACCTACTCCTCCTGAAGATGGCAAAGGGGAGGAATGGCCAAGGAGACACCTTGTAGAGAAGGGCTTATCATTTTCCATTGCTTGTGAGAACATACAGAGAAGCAGCTCAGAGCATGTTGTGGCTATAGTGCGCCCGTCTGTCTTTGTGGAGATGAAGGCCCAGCTCACAATATCTATACTCACCTAGCTTTTTCTCCAGCTCTGCCAAGTAGCTGTTGGACCAGGACCCCTGGTCCGCTTTCTCCACTTTGACCATTATGCCCTGCAGCTCTGCTGCAAAGTGCTGGTGGTAATGCTGCATGGATGCCTGCATGCTCTCCAAAGATCTCTGCACAGCTCGAACTTCTTGGGAGATGTTCTGGAGGGTTGGAGGGGAAGTGCTGGTTGCTTCCTGTGGAGCAAGTGCTGCAATGTTGGCTGCTTCCCCATGCCTCTGGAAGGTGGCCAGTTTCTCACTCAGGATCCTTTCCACCTTCTCCTGAATGACTTCCAGGGCCTTTGTAGTGGTGCTCTCCACTGCCTTTCCTTAGGAGAATAAGAATGTCACTGGGGTGTCCTTCATTCAAGCATGACCACATCTCTCTAAAATGGAGAGTCCCCTTTCCATGATTACTAAAAATAACCCCTCTCTCACTTGAGCAGCTGCAGGACCTGCTTCATGAGATCACTGTACTGTGCAACAAGCAGATTTATGAACTGACCCTTCGACTTGAATCAGCATTTTTTTGACCGATATGCTACTGGGAGGATGGAAAGCACACCAGGTGTGACTGGGAATACCTCTCCCTGTGGAAGAGCAGTGGGACTTCCCAAAGGCCTGGGCTCAGACTACCTCCCTTACAGCCTCAGCTCAGCTATGTTCACTTCTTAGACTTGGCCAAATCCCCTTGGCCTTGTCTCACAGCTATGTCCACCTTGTAGGTTGCAAGGGGACAGGCAATGGACAAGGAACAGCAGCATAACACAGAAGTATGTCAGCTGTTTTTTGTGCCACAAAGGCGTGCTAGTCCAGTTAGTAGGTAGAAACCACCTCTTCACATGGGTTGCTTGGTGTGTGGGGCAGAATCTCTGCTCTCCCTGCTGGAGGTAACCAGAGAAAGGTGAGAAGGAAGCAGGATATTCTATGGGACATGTCTGAGCTCAGAGGGTGATGACTGTCCTATAGTGGATTGTTAGGGAGTGCAAGTTACAGACTCCCTTCAAAAAGGGAGAGAATGGAGAGGGAGCTGGGACACCTGTGCTCACCCCATCTGCTGGAGACAGCAGTGGGGAGGCTGGCCAAGGAGCCACCTTTTAGTGAAGGACTTGCCATTCTCCACTGTTTGCAAGAGCATGCAGAGAAGCGTCTCAGAGCATGTTGGCTATAGCACACCCTTCTGCCTCTGGGGAGATGAAGACCCAGCTAGCCATGTCCATGCTCACCTAATTTCTTCTCCAGCTCTGTTACATTTTTCTTAAACCAGGAGACCAGGTCCTGGTCTGTTTTCTCCAGTTTGGACATTATGTCCTCAGGCAATGTTGCAGAGTGCTGGCAGTCACGCTGCATGTGTACCTTCATGATCTCCAAAGCTCTCTGGAGAGATTGAACTTCTTGGGAGAGGATCTGGATGGTGGAAGTCAATGTGCTGTTTGGTTCTTCTGAAGGGGATGCTGCACGGTGGTCAGCTTCCACATGGCTCTGTAAGGTGTCCAGTTTCTCACTCAGAATCCTCTCCAGCTTCTCCTGAAGGACTTCAAGGGCTCTCTCCACTGTTTCTCCTGAGGAGGAAGAAATCATCACTGGCGCCCTGGGCTATCCTTACTTCAGGTGAGACCGTGTCTCTCTAATGGGGAGCATCTCCTTGTGAGGCATACTGAAAATAATCCCTCTCTCACTTGAGCACCTCAATGGATCTGCTTCAGGAGCTCACTGTAGTATGAAATGGGCAGATCTGTGAAGTGGTTGTTGCCAGGGAATCTTCACTGTTCTGGCAAGTATGCTATAGGGAGGAGGGAAAGCACACAAGGTGTGATTGGGAAGTCTTCAACCCATGGAAGATCTGAGGGTCTTCCCAACATCCTGGACTCAGGCTTCTTTTACAGCCCTGGCCCAGCTAACTGTGTAACTCAGGCTTGGCCAGGTCCCCTTGTCCTTCCTTTTAATCAGGGACCAAAATCATAAGCAGCCAATAAAACACAGCACTATGTCTACTCATCTCTCTGGATTTCTTTGCCCTGAAGGGCATTCAGGAAGGATGGAGAAAGAAGTTACCATAAAAAAAGGGAACATGATATTTTGGGGAACATGCCTGAGCTCTGAGGCAGATATCTGACCTATATCAGGCTGGTGGAGAGCCCACAATTACAGACTGCCTTTCACAGAGGATGGATGGAGAGTGAGCTTAGGCACCTGTGCTCACCTCCTCCTCCTGGAGACTATGGCCAAGGAGCCACCTTGCAGAGATGAGTTGTGACTATAGCACACTCCTCTGTCTTTGTGGAGGGAAAGGCCCAGCTCACAGTGTTCCTGCTAACCTAGTTTTCTCTCCAGCTCGGCCAAATCGCGCTCGGTCCAGGACTCCTGAGCTGCTTTCTCCACTTTGGACATTATGCCTGTCAACTGTGCTGCAGAGGTTTGGCGGTGAAGGTACATGGACATCTTCATGCCCTCGAAAGATCTCTTCAGAGCCAAAATTTCTTGGGATAGATGTTGGAGCGTGGAAGTCCAGCTGAGGATCCATTCTTCTGGACGGGGTGCAGCGTAGCTTGTCACTCCCACATGGCTTTGGGAGGTTTCCAGAGTCCTTGTGTTTCTCTCCACTGCCTTTCCTATGGAGGAAGTGTGGAGGAAGAGAGGTTTTACTGACATCTTGGGCTGACCGCCTCATATCTGCCCCCTAACACACTACCAAAGGCTCCTTGGTGATTGCACAGCTCAGCAGAGGCATCTGGAAGCAGTTACTGTGTATCAGGAAATAAAGAAACAGTGATGCCTGAAACTTGAAACTGGTGTATGAGTGCAAATATTATCCAGCGAGCAAAGACAGAAACATGTGTAGCCTTGAGAGTAAAGCACAAGACTAGAGCAAAATCTGCAAGAGTAGACCACCCAAAGGTGGGAGCTCCTCTTAGTGTAGCACATTTTGATGGGCAATTGCAAGGAGAAGCTTGAACTTCACAGGGGAGAAGGGGAGAAAGATTTCATGAAGACCCCTTCTTCCCAGTGACATAACCTTACTGCTTAGTTGCCTTTGCTGTGTTGCCTTGTTGCAAAAAAGATCTACCCTTTGATGCTCTTCTTGCTCAAGCAAGGACTTGATCAAGAAAGATGTCTTTTTGTGGATATGATACACACACAGCAGAAGGGAATGACAGACATTTTAGAGAGAGAGCTAAGGTGAGCGTTACTTACGTCTTCCCTGGGCTTCTGGCCTTCTTTCCCCATTGGTCTGCTGTGAAGGGACACTTGGGACACCTGCAGAGGAGTCCACCATTTTTACTCGTATTGGGGAAAGTCCTCCTTTATGGTTGACATGTGGCCCTGCTTCTGAAGTGACATCCTTTGCATGGCGTCTCTGAGCTGTCTTTGGTGACTGTCCTCCTCCCAGCTTTGCTGTGAATTGTGTTTTGTTTTGGCTGGTGTCTGCAAAAAGCAAGGCCAAGCACTCTCGTAAGTCCTTAGCCACAGCCACCTGCTGTGCAGCACCTTTTTTGGTGGCCCCAGAAGGTACCCTACCACAGAGGACAGGGCATGGCCTTTGGCAGGCGTTCCCTGCAGAGGTGATTGTTGTTCATCCTCAGCATGGGAAGACCATTTTTTTCCCTTGTGGGGCAAGAGGGCAGGGGAACAGTGTGACTGACTCGCTTCAGTTTCTACGTTCAGCTTGTACATCTGAGCCTTCCATTGGAAATGGAGAGCAGTGCAGTGCAGCAGAGCATAACCATCCTGACACCAAAAATGCGTCTTACTGAAGAGATGAAGTCCAGCATCATGTAGGCTATGTTTTCTGCTATTGGTAATTCAGGGCAGCTGTGGGTATCCACCTGAGGGGCACAGGGCTCCAATGGCTGCATTTTCCTCTGGTATAGGAAATCCCGCTCTAAAGTACCCACCTTGAGGCAAGATACGCTTCCAATTGAAATGAGATCCAGAATACTCACACAGACCCTCGTAGTGTTTTACTTGTTCTTTGACATTATGTACTTGATTCTTCTGCCAATCTGGACCTTATGTCACATAGGAAGACAAAAGGGAAGACAAAAGAAGAAGCTTCATCGGGTTGTTTCCCTCTTCCTCCCCTCCTGCATAAAGGTCTTTTGCCTTCAAAAAACTCAAGGTCTTTCTCTCAGAGTGGACACTGCTCCTTATCCTACCCAAACCACCTTCAAATGTTCTCTTAAGTCCCTAGTGAGATATACAGTGTTGCCTGTTCTTATCCATGGGGAGAGTCACTTCCTCACCCTTCTCCTTACCTCATTGCAACCCACCAGGTGTTTGCTCAAATCCCTCCCTTCTTCATGCCACCCTCATGAGAGCCTTCCACCATGCACTGCTTTGTTCCCAAAGAATTCATATGAATGTTTCTAGGCTTGGAAGTATCTTGTCTGTGCCTTGGGATTTTGGCATGCCTCTTTACTCTCATGATCTGCCTAGCTCTGCACTCAACCAA